ATAAATGCAACATCTAATTTTATATCCGGTTAATTGTGCTCACATTTGATGGTCAAAATTAATTATGACCACTTTGGCATGAAAGATAAATAGTCTCATTCTACACATTTCCGTATATTTACTAATGGAGTGACCTTACTTATTCCACAAAGTTGAAAAGAGTGAGGAAAACTTGCTATACAACATGGTCCTACGGGATCATATTGTATATATGTCCTAAAAAATAGAAGACTTATTCAATGACATTTTTAATTTAAAATTAGAATAATGATACGAGAGGACCCTCTCCCACTTATGTGTGTAAGACCCCAAAGGATCACCATTAAAGTTGGTATGTATCTCTAAAAAAATTATTATATGTGTGTAGGACTTAGCTTTTTTATAGATCCGTGCTAAATTTAATGATGATCCTTTAAGATCTTATACACATGAGTGGAGGAGGGTCGATCACTTATCTTAAAATTAATAACTCATTACTTCCTATTCGATGACAGTCGCTAAAGTATCAAGTTTTACTATAATGAGAAAATATAAAATTTTACTATTTAAAAAGGGTTTTTACCCGAGACATCATTTACCCCACGAGCACAAGATAGTGACTTTTCTTTGCTTCAACCCACCATCCAAGCCTATGGAGCGCTTGTTGAATGACACCTGTTGCACAACCAACTGTGATTTAAACATTCTATACTCAAGAAATTGTATTTTTTGTGATAGTAGACCTTACCTCCCTAGGGCCAAACAACAAATAAAAATAAAACAAAAAAAAAAGAAAAAAAAAGAAAAGAAAGAAAAGGTATGATATAATAAAATGGGAAAAGTTTATATTGAGCAGAGGCTCTAAACAATCAAATTTGAGCCTATCTCAAAAATTTCACTAGAAAATATTGTTTTGACGTCCAAATATCTTCAAATTGATCATCTCGGCATCAAGATGCATTGACATGAGAGGTAAATAGATTTCAATTTTTTGAAATAATGTATTTTATAACACATTTTTTGGCCCGTCAATTTTCAAGATTTTTAAGTTTTCATAGATCTGTCGGATCTACACTATTTTTTAAAATTTAAACTTTATCAATAAATATGAAAATATATTTTAAGGCTATCACAAAAATTTCCACTATTGGAAATTTCTCACACTATTTGAAAGTAGGCTCTAATTTGATTGTTTAGAGCCTAGGCTCTATACAAACCGCACCCTAATAAAATTTTCACATTTTAAATGTGATAAAATAAAAGATTGTTTTGTATATACCCACATCACTGTCATTGCAGACTTTAATTCATGTTGTTTTGGTTTTCTATGAGAATAGTTAACAATATAAAATTGTTATTGTATAAAAAAAGTCAAAATCAAACTTAACCACTCTACATGAAGTCGGACGCTTGGGAGTAGAATACCTTGTGACGCATCCCTAGCCACCAGATTTTCATTTTTATTTATTGGAAATGAACATGACCTTCTTGTAAAATAGATGGCCTTGTAGCAATCCATATTTTAATTTAAATAAATAATTTTTTAATTTGTATATTTTGTACGCCCCACCTTGACTTTTGCGGTGATACACATTGCGATTGATTGAAAATTATCGATAGCAAATAACAGGCAAATACAATGATCGGTAATCCAGAAAGAAATAAATTGAGAAGAAAGCCATAAGAAGAGTTCTGCCATGCACCACAAGATCAAAGAAGAAAAACACCCACAAAAAGGTCCTCTCTCTCACAGCCTCTTTTTTGTTTTATTGTGCGTTCTTTGATACTAACACTTTTTTCCTCTCTCATATATGACTTTTTTTGATCAAAGAAAAAAAAACACCCACAAAAAGATCCTCTCTCTCTTGGTCTCTTTTTTGTTTTATTGCGCTTTCTTTGATACTAACACTTTTTTCCTCTCTCAGAGATGACTTTCCTTGCCATGTGACAAAAGAGATGTCTCATTTTCTGTAAGAGCAACCCACCAAAACTAACGGCAACCTTAAAAAAACCTTACTTATCCTTTTAGTGACAAAGAAACAAACTAAACAAAAATAAATAAAAAGTTTATATAAGTGTGAGGCTTTAAACAACCAAATTAAGGCATACGTCAAAAATTTATTGGAAGAGGTTGTTTTAATGGCCCAAAAATCTTTAAATCTATCATCTCAACCTTAAGATGTATGGACATAAAAGAAAAGATATTTCAAGTTTTAGAAATAATGCATTTTAGGACCATCAATTTTATGTGTTCATGAATCTGCTCGATCTACACTTCTTTTTGAAGCTTTAAATTTTTATAATTAGAGATGAAAATGAATTTCAAGTCATCACATAGATGTCCAGTATTGAAACAACATCTTTTGACACGTTTAAAGGCACGCCTTACTTTGATGGTTTAGAACCTTGGCATTATACAAATCACACCCAAAAAAAATAAAGCCTCTTTTCAAACCTTAACCACGGATACCTTTAAGTTTAAAGAATGGGACTCGTAACAATTTCTTTTTTTTATAAAAGAAGACAATTTGCTTTTATAAAAGAAGACAATTTGCTTTTATAAAAGAAGACAATTTGTTTAGAAAAAAAAGCACGATAATTTATTGACTAACGCTTCTTCTTTTGGCCTAGATATGATTGCTCTAAATAATCAAGTGCGATCATCTTGACTACATACCCTTTCGAAAGGTAATTGAGTTCTAGCCTTGGGGTTAATAAGTGATTCAAAAATCGCGGATTTAGAATCGTCCAATCTAATTTGCAAATTGGCCGAGATTGAACCTCTTAAGGAATTGGTATCACCTGGTCTTCCTTAAAATCCCTTTTCTATTTTTTTATTTTCTACATTTTTTAGGTGTCTATTAAGGAAAAATATGCCATGCACCCTTCCAATGGTTAGAGATCTCCTATGGCCATATCCAACTGCCAAAAATTAGTATCATATTTTTATTTAAATAAGATACTTATCTGAACTTTGGTGCGTAGGTGCATTCTTATAAATATAAGTAAATAAAAATGATTAAAAAATTAAATAAAAAATTACATAAATAACTCTAAATTTATTTTAATCAATATTTTTATTCAAACTATCATTTTATTAAATTTTATTCAATCTTACATATAAAAATTGCCTAAAACCAAAATTTAAGATTAATGTACTTTTTAATTCAATCTGAATCATTAAAAAAGTGCGTGTCCACCTTTTATGGAAAAGTATTACATCTACATGATGTGGACAAGCACCCTCGTTGAAATCTCATATGGCCAATATCTAGTGGCCGAAAATTAGTATTGTATTTTATTTTTTATTTTTTATTTTTTATTTAAATAAAGATACTTATCTGAAATTTTGGTGCCTAGGTGAATTTTTATAAATATAATTATAAATACCTCTCAATTTATTTTGATCAATATTTTTATCTCTCAATTTACTTTGAGAGATATTTTTATCTCTCAATTTTTATCTCTCAATATTTTTATCTCTTAATTATTTTATCTCTCAATTATGTAAATACCTCTCAATTTTTATCTCTCAATATTTTTATCTCTCAATAATTTTGTCTCTCAATTTTTATCTCTCAATATTTTTATCTCTCAATTTTTTTATCTCTCAATTATGTAAATATCTCTCAATTTTTTATCTCTCAATATTTTTCTCTCAATTATCTAAATACTTCTCAATTTTTATCTCTCAATATTTTTATCTCTCAATTGTTATCTCTCAATATCTCTCAATATGTTTATCTCTCAATTATGAAAATATCTCTCAATTATATCTCTCAATTATGAAATTATCTCTCAATATCTCTCAATTATATCTCTCAATTATGAAAATATCTCTCAATTATGAAAATATCTCTCAATATTTTTTTCTCTCAATTATGTAAATACCTTGCAATTTATCTTGATCAATATTTTTATTCAAAATAGTTTTTATTAATTTTAGTCAATCTTACTTATAAAAATGACCTAAAACCAAAATTTCAGATTAATATAAATTTTAAAATAAATAATGAAACTCATTATTTGCTAGCATGGTTCTCTCTTAACCATTTAAAAGTCCCTGAGCATCTTTGAAGCGTCGACATGCAGTGTACGCAATAATAACCCATTTAAAAAAAGAAAAGTTTATATAGAACAAAGGCTCTAAACAAATAAATTAGAGATACCTTAAAAGTTTCACTAAAAAAGGCGTTTTTGATATCCAAATATCTTCAAATTGATCATCTCCACATCAAGATTCATGGACATGAGAAAAAAATAGATTTCAAGTTTTGAAAATAGTGTATCTTGTAACTTTTTTTTGGACCGTCAATTTTCAAGATTTTTAAGTTTTCATAATTATGCTCGATCAACCTTATTTTTTGGCTTTAAATTTTACAATTAAATATAAAAATATATTTCAAGGCTACAACAAATATTTTAAGTATTGAAACCACATTTTTCCACACTATTTGTAGTGGGATCTAATTTGCTTGTCTAGAGCCTCAGCTTTACATAAAAAGAGATTCATGTCCACCAAATTTAATGTAAAATTTAAGTAAACGAAAATGTTTTATGGGTGCGGTTTCTATAAAGATGCAACCTAAAACAATCCAATTAGTGGGCGCCTTAAAATTTTATCATAACATATAATTTTGTTATAAAAGCTTCTTAGTATTATCTTAAAATCTATTTTTATACCTAATTAAAAAAATTTAAATTTTAAAAATGGTTAAAATCAAGTAGATCTATAAATATATGAAAATCTTGAAATGGACGGTCTAGATAATGTGTTGCAAGATACACTATTTTCAGGACTCAAAAACTTTTTTTTTTTTTTCATATTCATACATCTCAATGTCGAGATGATCGAATTAGAGGGTTTATTCAACATTAAATCAACATTTTTGATAGATTTCTGAGGTGCATCCGTGATTATACATTTTAAGGTTGCAAGCTTATATAAACTTTTTCCATGTTTTATTATGTTAATCTTTTTATATGTTGTAGTGACACGACTGCAACCAAATGGAAGACACCTGCATAAAAACATAGGCCTCAGCTTCTTCTTTTCTTGCTTCTGAGGCCTCTCTTAAAACGAAAACCAGTGAGAAAAGCTCCTCTCCACCCCTTTCAGGCGGGTTTCTTCATCTCTCTCTCTCTCTCTCTCCCTCTGTTATTGATTTTGCATTGACATGTGCAGGTATGGTAGGGAAGATTGTACTGGTTTTGTTGGTGGGTCTTATGGGAATTACATACAAGACCATTACTCCACCTCCTCCCAAAATATGTGGCTCCCCTAGTGGCCCACCTGTTACTGGACCTAGGGTCAGGCTTAAAGATGACAGACTTTTAGCTTATTTTGAGAAAGGAGATGCTAGAGCGAAGGCCACCTATAAGATTGTCATGGCTCATGGCTTTCACTGTTCTAGATACGACAGTCTTCTTGCCTCTCAGGTATGAGCACTCTCTCTCTTTTCACATATCACTGTGTGTTATTCTCTGGTTCAATCTCTTCACTTCTCTGTTTCCATCTGTGCCTCTTTTCTTTCTCTCTCTCGGTTAAGCAATGCTTTTCTATGCAAAATACTATATTGTTACTCCTTAAGTCAAAAGACTTACTTGGGAGTATTTTTTCAATAAAAAATGAGAATTATTTAGATGATTATTTAAAAAAAAAATTGAAATTTGAGTTTTCTAACATTCTATCTCACCACTCTATCTCACCGTCTAAAAATTGAATGGTTCTTGTTCAATATCAAAACCTTCTTTTAAACTTTCTCATTATCAAATTTCACATTAAATAGTTGTAAGAAATTATGACCACCTTGTATAAAGGATAAATAGTCTTGCATATAATCCTTCGTTTTTTTTTGTTTTTTTTAAGTACATAGAGGATTAGAAAATATTTATTATTGAGATTAAAGATTTTACATTCCCAAACTTTTAGGTTCTAAAAATTAAGTCAGAGTGAGGTTTTTAGCGGAGGGAATAAATGCGCATTGGGGAGTGGAATATCTTTTGGTTGATTTAGGTTCCGAAAATTAAGTCAGAGTGAGGTTTTTAGCGGAGAGAATAAATGCGCATTGGGGAGTGGAATATCTTTTGGTTGATTTTTATTGTGATTGTGCTTGCCATCACCGTTAGTTTTCAAATTATTGATGTGGTCAATTTCGATATGGACCTGTTTTTTATGAGTCCCTCGACTCATACTAATCTCGTGCCATCTAACACTTATTTTTAATTCGGATCTTGGATCCAAATTTGCATATATTTATGATCTACACTATGATAATCATCAGTATAAAACCTAAAAAGGTGCAGTCTTTAAACAAGGCGTACCTTCAAATTTTTTTATAACATGCAATTTTAGTGTAAAAAATTATTAAGATTATCTAAAAATTTATTATCATGTCTAATTATAAAGTTTTAAACTTCAAAAAGGGTTAAAATGTAGATATATAAACATATGAACATTTTGAAAATGGACAGTATAAATAATGTGTTGCAAGATGTACTATTTTTGGAGCCAAAACCCTTTTTTTTTTCCATAATCATACATCTCAATATTGAGATGATCAATTAGAGGGTTTTCCCAACATTGAAACAACATTTTCCGATGGATTTTTGAAGTGTATCCTTAATTGTACATTTTAAAGTTGCAACCTTATATAATTTTTTTCCAAACTAGAATAAAATAAAATAAAAATTTAATACATTTTTTTAAAAAATTCCTTATCCATTGAATAAGAATCTTTAGTTGTAGAGGTTCATTTTAAAGATGAACACTTGCGAGTCCGCAGACTAGTGAATCCGCCGACTCATAAAAAACTTTTTCTTTCAATATTTGTTATCTATTTATTTTTTCTTTTATTATTTTCTTTTATATTTTATTCTTTTCATTGTCATATGATTAGGGGTGAGGTTTGTATAAGGTGCGTACCTTATACTATACAATAACGCACACTTTTAAACTTTGTCAAAAGATGTAGTTTCTTCATCCGAGATCTTATGATGGCTTAAAAATCCATCTTCAACTTTAATTATGGAATATAAAAATCCAATAATATTGCGGATTGAATAGATCTATAAACAATTGAAGTTCTTGAAGATAGACGGTTTAGATAACTTGCTACAAGATGGTATATTAAAAATAAGAAAAAAAATTTATAGGGTCTAGGCTCTAAACAATCAAATTAGAACCTACCTCAAAAATTTTACTTGAAGAGGTTGTTTTGATGCTCAAATATCCTCAAATTGATCATCTGGACATCAAGATGCATAGAATTTAGAAAAAAATGGATTTCAAGTTTTGGAAATAGTGTATCTTGTAATGTATTTTTGGACTGTCAATTTTTAAGTTATTCAAGTATTCGTAGATCTGCTCGATCAGCACTATTTTTGAAGCTTTAAATTTTATAATTAAAGATGAAATATATTTTAAGGCTAGTTAAAGATTTCCAATATTGAAACCACATTTCTCGGTACTATTTAAAGGTGTGCTTTAATTTGATTGTTTAGAGCCTTCGCTCTATACAAACCACAATCTTTCAATATATATATATATATTTTTTATATCTATGTACCTTGATGTCAAGATGATCAGTTAAAAGATTTTTCAACTTGGGATATACTCTTTTGTAGTGGATTTTTTAGGTGTACCTTAATCTATAGAAAAATATTGCAATATTATATAAACTTTTCTTGATAATTAGATGATATACGTTGACTTGTTTGAGGTGGCTTATTTATTTATTGAGTCACTTCTAGGCTGGGTATTTCAAAATTCCCAATTTTTTTTTCTCTTGATCAATCTCCAGATGAAGTGCCCAATATGGGGTTATAAATGTCTATTTTTTTTCTCTCTGAAAAGGCCAATCTCCATAATACATCCCCAGACTTTGGGTTACTAAGAGTAATCATAGTAATTAAATGTACATTCATTTCATTGAACAATCACAAAAATATAAAATTTGAAACCATCACAAAAATATAAACTTTGAAAATGCACTCTAGAAAGTTTAGTTTTAGCCTAATCAACATAAGCCGTCTATTTTGTTAAGGTGCATAGATCTAGGTCTTAGAAAGTTTTTTCTCTTTTCAAAATTTTTGGATAGCTTTGTTATCATTAGTTGAACAGTATTGAAAAAGAAAAAAAATGGTTTTAAGTTCGTAAAGACCTAGATCTTGAAATTGATCAAATGGATGGTTTAGATTCATTGTTGAAAGGGACTAATTTTAACTAAATCGATGCAAATTCAATTTCTTTGTTTTTTTAAAATTGACTATTGGGGAGAAAAAAAAGGTATGTGCAATTTTTAGGGTGAATCAAATGTGACAAACATGATTTTTTAAAAGTGTAATTGCATTATATTGCTATATAACTATGAAATCATTCCCTCAACTTTTTATTAGCATATTTTAATTTTTATTTTTAAATGTTTGGATTTTTCTGAAATATTTAGATACTTTTTTATATATATTCATATTTTATATTTTTGCAAGTTGAGTTAAGTGCAAAAAAGAAAAAGGGCAGCAGCTTTGTGGCGTTGGGAATGTGGCTCACCTAGTTTTGCGTGCCTTGGCTCAATAAATATCAATTTTCATTTGTGAGTGGGCCCGTTATTTGATCTGTGCTTTGGGAAGTTCTTGACCATGCGCGCATTCTTAATTTAATGGTAAATTATTTCAGGATATTGGGAATTTAAATTTGTTTGATTGTCCCTTGTTGTGTTCAACATCCCACCATAATAAATCTAATATTGTGAAACCAATTTGTCTATTACCGATCAACTCAATTTCAAAAAATTCAAATACCCAAGAATTGAATAGATGTAGTAAATTTGAAAAAAATAGGGAAGTAAAAATAAAAAATAAAAAACACAATAACATGATACAAATTACAATCCAAGCACTATTAATGCAAATACACGTAGTTCACCCAAAATTTGGCTATATCTGTTGGGATGGTGATGCAAAATTGTCTCTTACTCAACCAATGACATTTCTCTCATTACAAAGGCATTTTAGTCATTGTAACAATCACATTTTATTTATTTATTTATGGAGGCCTTATAACTCATTAGAGAGACAAACTTGGGGTTTTAAGTGAGGGAGCTCCTTTTTAAAAAGGAAAATATAGAGAAGTATGGGGGATAGAAATTGGGGTTTTTGTACAAACTCTAGCACCATTCTGGTCTCGATTGGGTTGATTTTTCATCGGCGTTTTTTTGAGGTGATAATTTTAGTCGATGGTGAGGAAAAGATGAGTCGATTGATGGTAGTACTGTACTAGGAAATATCTATTTGAGCTTTATTTGTTATTGTATGAGGTAATCTCTACAAATCTCAAACTTATAAAATTTCTCTGTTGATAGTGAATCACTTTCTTGCCTGTTGCCTGTGGATGTAACCTGATTTTTGATGAACCACATATATTGCGTGTTTATGGTGTTTTGATTATGGTTTGTAGTGTGCGGTTGTGGCATTAGAGTTCATATTTTACTTTCTCTTAATTTCATCATATTTTTACAAATTTATTACACCATGAATTTGATTCTAGAGTGTTGAATTTCTTGAAATCAATTTGTTGGTAATTGGCAAGTTAGTTTCGAGGTATTATATTTGTTGTAATGAAGGGTTCACCACAACAAGGGCTAGTTGAGGTTGCATTAGTTCCCAACAAGTGGTATCAAAACTCTAAGGAATTGTATAGTAATTTGGGAAAAATGAGTACTTACAAATTTGAAGTAGATGCGTTTGATGGAAGGAATGATTTTTTGAAGTAGATGCGTTTGATGGAAAGAATGATTTTGAACTTTGGAAAATAAAAGTTTATGATATATTGGTACAACAAGGCCTTCATTAAACACTACGAGAAAATCCAAGAAACTAGAAAGTACGAAGGATAATGATTGGGAAGAAATGTATAGGAAGGCGTGCACCACAATTTGCTTGTGTTTAGCGAATGAAATACTATTTAATATAGTATGTGAAAAAACGAAGGTTGATTTATGGACAAAGCGAAAGCTTGTACCAAACAAAGCTATCAAATTTTCTTGAAAAGAAAATTGTATTATTTGAGGATGAGAGATGATATGAAAGTCTCAGAACACTCAAATGAATTCAACAACGTAATTTGTCTACTCGAGAGTATTGGGTAAACATGGATGAGGAAGATAAGTCGATGAAATTAACTTGTTCGTTACCAAAATCTAATGATAGTCTTGTTACTACTCTTAGTTGTAACAATGAAGAATCCCTCAAGTTGGATTCGGTTTGTAGTGCTGTAGTTGCCAATGAACTTCGAAAGAAGGTGTTGATCGATTCGATGGGCTCAAGAATGAATGTACTAATGGAAAGAGGCTAGTTGGATGAATGGGTCAGTTCATCAAGAGATTCCTCAAGTAGCCAATCAAATTCGAGGGTGTCTTATGACAAAAGAGGTTGTTGATTTT